TTTTTTTTCGGTGTTTTAGCAAAAGGACAGAAAATCGAAAAAGTCCACCTGGAAGTTTTGCCTTGACTTGACCCATCCTGTGGAAGATGGAATCTTTGATTCTGGGAATTTTGTAAGTCGTGGTTTTGGTCATACTTCTGGTGCATAGTATAATAGAAGCTTTAGCCCAGTACGGTAGCTGACTTACAGCTGAAAAGTTAGAATAAGTCAGTAAAAACAGCTGTTCTTTAAATTACCGTCACTTTTTGAAAGTTTCTTGGATTTAGATGCCTTTTATAGTTAATGTGGTTCATATCTCTCCATCAATAGAACAGTTTTAAATTGAATTCTGTTGTAGAGCGGGGGTGATATTTTTTTTAATTACAGACTCTGAAGTCTTATTGCGTTTTAAATACTTGTTATTGGGACATAAATAAATGGTGATTTTTAATAACTCTATATGGCTAGGGTCCCTTCCCTAGTTCATACCTAGGGTGCCATTCCCTAGTGTTCTATTTCTTTAATGTTGAAACAGGAACAGTTCCTAAAGGAGAAGGTTAAGGTCAATGGAAAAACTGGAAACTTGGGCAACACCGTTCACATTGAACGTCTGAAGAACAAGATCACAGTAACATCCGAGAAGCAGTTTTCTAAAAGGTTGGCATAGGTTTTCTTTTGTTGTATTTGTGATAGTGGATTTTGAACAGTGGTATGTTGAACACAACATACTTCTGATATGCACAGAGTTGGTATTGGCTCTGACCTTGGTAGCACTTGTAAATGTTAGTGAAAGACCTAATTCAAACAGATTTATAATAGATATTTTTAAAACTCAAAGCTTGACTGTAAATTAATGCTCCTTTTAATATAAGCATAGTAATACAGAGATACTTTGTGTACGTTGTTAGAAGTGTATCAAGGAAAGATGGGCTTTTAAAAGTCATACTGAATTCATGTATCTGGGATGAAAATGTGCTTTTATTATGTGTTATAAATGATAATTGTTTATTTCTGGTTATAACAAGTGTGGTGTTGCTCTGTTAGAGCCGTGTGTTGGGTGAAGTGCAGACAGCATTAAGGGTTGTTTAATGAGGAAGTTCTGATCTCTAATTACTGCTTTTAAGGTACCTGAAATACCTCACAAAGAAGTACCTCAAGAAGAACAACCTGCGTGACTGGCTTCGTGTCGTTGCATCTGACAAGGAGACGTACGAGCTACGCTACTTCCAAATCAGTCAGGATGAGGAAGGGTCAGAGTCTGAGGAATAACTGAAGCTCTGCTTCATACTCAGTGCAGTGTACAAAAGACTAGACCATCTATTTATAAGAACACTTAACTTATTGGTGAATAAAGATTTTGTACCCTGTTTGACAGAGCATGGTTAGTTTTCTAGCATTTTTTCTTCAATTTAATTCAAAAACAGCACAGGGAGTCATTTGATTCCCATTAAATCAGTACATTTGTTTCTACTTCTATGACGGTGTATTTTAAGATTCTTGGATCTGGTTTCTGGGATTATTTCGTTGAGTATTTCTTTAGTACAAGTGGTGAATTCTTCACTGAAACACAAATCACTCCAGATCCTATAAACCCATTCTTTTGTTCATGTAATATCAAGAGAAATTTGAGGAGTTTTCAGTATGAAAATGTGATATTTGTGGGCTGTGATACTGAACTTTGCTTGAGAAAATCTGCTAGTTTAGGCTGAAGCGTGCCTGCTAAATTCTTTAATTTCCTGATGATTTTCCTTTATTATTTCAGTGTTGGTTTCACTGGCAAACCTCTGAGACAGGCTGTTAGAGCGTTGCAGAAGCACAAAGCAGTGCATTAACAGTGGCACAACACCTGTTTGTACTACCTAAATTTTATTTCCTAGCTCGTGTATCTTGAGCTTTATATGCTTCAGTGGAAATAACTTCAAACCCCTGAAGTCCTGCCCTCTGACCCAGGGCACTGGACAGTGCCAGAGTGCGGCCTTGGTATTGTCTATTTGAGAAAAGTCAGGCAGTTCTGAAAGCAGTTAAGAGTATGGGTAGTTAATACTGTGGTGAAAAAGCAACATTGTTTTTCACAGTAAAGCTGCAAACACTTGAAAACCTCCAGTCTGTTTCCTTTGCTGCACAAGTTAAGCCATGGGTATGACTAATGCGTTGTATTTCAAAATCCATCCACACCTGTGTTTTCAGAGTTGTGCTTTTAGGTGACGACACATCCTGGACCCTAAGTCTGATGAAATGGCACAAGCACAAACCCCATCAGAGCTCACAGGATGGTGCTGCCTTGTCACCCTTCCTTTTAAAGCAGGCTGGCAGCTCTGCATGTGGCTGTAGCAGCAGCAGAGACGGATTGTCATTAGGCAAAAGACAGGAAAACAAGGCCTGGGATTTCAAGCAAAGTGACTTACTGCATGGCTGGGTTTGGAGAAAACGGCCAAAGTGCTCGTGTGATTGTATCACTCAGCTTCGCTGCAGAGAGGGTGGAGTCTAGGGACTGCTTTCCCCAATGCCTGAAAACGTGAACTTTGAAAAACCAAAATTCCAAGTTTATGAATAATGTGTGAATCTAGAGTACTTCATAAATTTTATCAGCCAGACATTCCTGGATTATCCCTGGGTTGCTGCCCAAACTCAGCTGGCTGTACCAGAGCCTCCCGTCCAGCTTTGCTCTTTGGAACGTGTGAGCTCTTTCAGCTCTCATGCAGTCAGGAGCTTTATCAGGTCAGCCACGTTGCAGAAAAGGAGAAACCACAAAAGGGGGGAGTTACATTTAAATGGGAGTGTTTACGATTGTTGATTGTTAAAGTTTCATGGAGAAAACCAGCTGATGAGCAGGTGGCCTCGGACAAAGCTTCAGACAAATGGCGATTCTTGCATAATTGAAAGTATTTCAGACCTGGAGAGGCCAAGTGTAATGCAAGTGGCATGCAGGAAACAGCCTGTTACTGTTCACATAAGGTAATTAATACAAATTATTGATTAGAATTGAAGTGAGCTTTTTTTAAAAGCCAGAGGTCAGCATTTCTCTAATCTGTGGTGGATATAACACTACGATGGCAGTTTGGCTGTACCAGGAACTGTGAGGCACCTTCACTAGGGGACCTGGCATGCCAGTTGTTTTTTGGGTTTTTTTTCCAATGAAAATGCTGTAAAATAACCAGTTTTGTTCATCTTTGTTTTGAAAGTTAAAAGATCCCAAACATCTTGAAAATGGACCAGATTGACTTAGAATTTTCCATATTTAGTGCTGAACAAGAGCTCAGAAAAGCCCTGCTTGAGGTGGGCCAGGCTCTCCTTGGAGCTGCAGAGACGCTCCTGTCAGGGAGGCAAGGAAGCTGCTGGGAAAAAATCATGCACCCACAGCATGAAAACTGCGTGTGAGCAGGGCTGCTGCTGAGTTCAGTCCCTGTGGCTCCTCAGTAACGTGCTTAGGTCTTGGACGCTGCTCAGGGTGCTCTAAGGTTTCCAGAAGAGATAAGCACAAAAATCCATTGGGGTGAATGAGAGTGCTGCTAGTTGAGACCCCTGGTTCATCAAGCCAGAAGTTTAATTTGGAAAGAAGAATAATCTTTGCAAAGCATCAGTTGCATTAGTAGCACAGCAGATGGGCCAGGGCCAGCACCTGCAAGCTCAGGGATCAGGAGGGCAATGGCACCATAACTCCTGCAAGGATTTAATATAGCCAAAATTTTATATATATATATATATATGTATTTTCTCCCTTTCATTTTCCAATGTTTCTCCCCTTCATGTCTCAAAAACTATTTTTTGCTCCTTTCTTCCAAATAAAATCAGTTTATGAGAGACCTCCCACACACGGAAAATGTCAATATCTGGCAAATAAAAAAAAAAAAAAAAACCACAACCCAGAGATTCCTAACTGCAAGAGCTACATGGCAGTTGCCAGAGCAGCAGTAGCAGCACCACACAGGCTATTTATGTGTGAGCATAGTTATTATTTTGCTGCACCATCAGTCTCTACTGCCTTTACTGCAGCAAAACTCTCACTGACTTCCAGTAAAAAGGAAAAAAAAAAAAAAAAACGAAAAAAAACAAATCCAAAACCAAAAACCTAAACAAAACCTACAGGGTTTCACCAATCATAGCCACCACTAGTAAAAGTGACTTCTAAATGTCCTTGTGCACCCATATGCTGGCTAGCCATGTGTTCTTCTGTCCTATAACCCCATCAGAAAACAGCTTTATCATATACCCAAAAGTTGTAAGATTAGAAATAAAGAGGTAAATAATAGCAGGAAATATCTGAAAAATGTGTCAGGGTGCTAATGCATGCAGTAGACCCAGCATGTGGCAGGTGTTCAAGGCAGCACAGCCTCAACATAGTCACATCACATCAGCACAAAATGATTAGAAACAGAGAGGCCCATGGAAAAATAAATTCCCAATAATAGCTTCGATGTACCCAACAGCTGGAAATGAGCTTCGGTGGTGGGAGTGATCTGATTACACCAAATATAGACAAAAAAAAAAAAAAAAAAAGAACAATTGTTTCTTTTTAAAGACAAACACAAAACAAAGACTCCTTATGGTGCAGAGCAGAGGGACTGAAAGCCTCCTCACCCTGCCCATGTCGTGCTGCTCCATCAGGTTTCCACCTCTCCCCATCCCAGTGCCCCAGTTCCCTGAGCAGCCCCAGCACCCTGCCCACCAGCCCTCCCAGCACACCAGCACCAGTCAAGAGTGCTGGGACCTCACGGAAGCGAGTGGTTTTCCTGCCAGTGCCCGGGCATGGTACTCTGCATCCCCGTGGCGGCAGGCAGGCAGGTGGGCAGCCATTGCCTTTGGAGACCTTTTCCACCTTCCACTGTTGTTATTAATGCTCACAGCCCGTGCTTCCCACTTCGGGCAATATAATATGGTTTATTTTATACGGATATGTTTGATATTGAAAGTAGCATCTTTGTCCCATGAACTTTAACAGCTATGTCAGGTGACATAGCCCTGGCATGATCACAAATCCATGAGCAAGGGGCTGCGATTCCCCAGGTTAAGACTTTAATCTTGCTGATGCCTGCTGCAAGGACGACTCTGAGCAGTAAAGGGATTCATAGGCACAGAAGCCGTAACTCAATGCAGCGTTGCCAAAGCCACGAGAAGGAGAAACAGTGAGACCATCACAGGCACCAAGGGAGCTCCCCAGGACATGCTGCAGAATGACCCCAAGGTTGAAGAGGTGGAAGAAGGAGCTGTCAGACAACATGTGCATCCCCAGGCAGGGCCAGCTGGGAACCATTTCAGCCAGCAGCGCGTTACCACCTGCGCTGGCAGGTTCTCCACGGAGGGCTCTGGGCCTGCCCCAGGCGTCCTGGCAGGGTCACCCAGAGGGGCACAGTGTGGGCACCAGGCCCAGGGCAGCACAGGGCTCAGCAGGGACCCCTGTAAGCACCAACCTCTTTCCAAATCCACCAGGCACGTCGTGCTGCTTCCTCCGGTTTGCTGCCCAGCTGTCCCATGGCCACAGGAATATCTAAATTCCTGTGGCGTGTGCGTTTTTGGCAGGGTGCTGGCATGGAATCACTTTTAGGTTTGCCTTGGCACTGCGTCTGTGATTTGAGCCCTAATTCATGCTAAAGCTGCTGCTTAAGAGAAATGCTGTTGCAGAGCACAAACCGTAGGTGGGAGGAGTGGCCTGGGGATTACCAGGTCTCAAACATGCACCAAACACCCTTCAGACAGGATCCTAGGAAGCCCTCAAAGAGGGGGGGTGAGGGGTGGGGGGGGATTGTTTCCAAGGAGGGAGAGGTTTCTATGACCTAGCCAACCTAGAAACTGCCTTTAGCAGCTTTTTGCACCTGAAGTCCTTTGCTCTGGGGAGTTATATACTCACAAAGCACCAAAGCGACACCAGCTGGAAAGGGTTTTCCACTGCTGTCAATGCATCCTGGATTTAAACAAAAAATTAAGAGATAAATGCTTTAATATATTAACAAATTTTTTTGTTGAGTAGCTTAACTTGGCAAGACAGTTCACCCTATTCCCACAACAGCAAATATTAAATATGATTTAAGTCTCAGTTTTGTTACAATGTTCTTGCCATCAGGTTAGGGGTTTTGTAGGGATTTTTAAATTGGAATGTGGGACAATGGGCATTTTTTTCAGTGGCCCATTGCCCACACAGTGACTCGATCACCGCACTGACGTTCCCCATGCACTGATGGGACGCTCTGAGCCCAGCCTCTGGTGCCAAAGCCAACAACAGCATCAGCAGCTTCTTAATCGCTGGCACATGGGCCAGGGAGAAGAAATACAGCACTGAATAATAAATACAGCAAGGTGCACAAACAGCAGAATTGAAAGCAAATAACTAAAACACTTCAGTTTGATGCAGAAGGGCAAGATGCTTCTGGGTGCAGCAGTGT